AATACGTGTTAGGGCCTACAAGTGCAATCATGCAACCTGATGTAGATTTACTATCAGCATCTCCTGCCCAATCAGCATCACAGAACATCCACAGCTTACATTCGGAGATTTTATCCCCTACAAACCCTTTAAGTTTGATGTTTATGGAGGAGTAAATGTAGCAGATTAACCTATGCAGAGCAATGTCGCAATTGGGTGACCATTTAGTAACCCTGGACGCGAGGGCTTGCGTAGCACGGAGAAGGTCCCATCGGGCCATGCGTGCTGCAAAGAGCACTTTCATGAGGATGCGTGACGCAATACCCGCAAGCTTACCGGTTGGCTCGTTGTCCGGGTCCACCGGCTTGGCGATCCGGGCCTCATGAAAAGGTGTAGCAGCATGCCTCAGGGTTTTCCGATCTACCTTAGCCAATTCGCAGTATTTCTCAACACAGGTGCCAAGAAAATCCTCCATGTCATAGGTTACAACGTTGACTTTGTTGACCATACAAGGGGTTGGTTTGTCAACGATCGATTCGGGTGGCTTGAACCTACTTTCTTTGACTTTGTTCTTAGCTTCTGTCTTGCTGCGTGGATTCTTCTTCTTGTAGGAAGCAAGAGCATAAGTAAAGTCTTCCACTGGGGTTTCGTGATCAAGTGGGAAATAGGTTCTGCCTGTCCACCAATCAAACTTAGCTTCACCCCCCTGGTTGAAGTCATCAACATGTAACTCTTCTTTCGAATCGAACTCGGTGACACGACTGGTCCCCATCATGGGAAAAGCCAATACATCATCTTCCGTTGGAACGTATAGCTTCTTTCTCGGATACACATGATGTCTAACCACTGCACCAGCCTCTAAGTCTACTTCCCAGAAGTCCTCCCTCCTGACCGGCGATGGGTTTCCCCTCGCAATTGCTGCGGGTTTTCCCTCAAAGACGCGGGCAAAAGGGTGTTCGGATTTGGTACAGGAGACTTGTTGCTGTTCTACGTGGTTACAACCAAAGTAACGTCCAAGGGCTTCGGGAGGATCCATATCAATGACGCTGTTGATGTCCTTCCAACCTTGGGCCATGTTTTTGGTGGGACCTGCCATTTTAAAGTCGTCGACATACACAACTAGCATCAGCTCAAGCTCAGGATGGTAGAAAACGCTTTGCCATATTTCAGGCAAGATTGGAATCCATCCTACAGACTTAAGCTGGGTCTCGCAACGCTTCTCCCAAATGCCGCCGGCGTCGGGATGGCCATACAGAGCTAATCGAAGCGGGGAGACGGGGTCTCGGTAGCCTTTCCAGGAACTAGGCCAACGATTCTTAGGCAAGCGAACCCATGTGGTTATACCTTCAAAGAGTGCTTGGGCATACGCTTGTCTAGCGTCCGCCTGC